GGTGGCTTACTTCCTCTGCAGAGGAGTTTTTCCTAATGGTGTACAAATCTCTCTCCCAGAGGAACCATTTCAAATACACTTGAAATTGACATTCATGTTCAAAAATACTACAAATTTCATTTTCACAGCTGAGCTTTGCGACCAGTGCCAGGGTTTATGAAACAACAATACATATCTAAAATAAAACAAAACATAAAAAGAAAAAAAAAAGGCATTTAACAATAAATCAGACACATCCACACAGCATTTAAAACTGATTTCCACAGCTGACTTATACATTATCTAGTCTTAAAAAATTGCAATCAACATCCCAACATCTTTTTAAAAGTACAATGGGCAAAGATTAAAGAAACAGACAAAATAATAATATAATAAATTAGAGCATGTAATATATCCAATGGGAATTGATGAATCAACATTATTTTCCATTGGGGGGTTATAATATTTTTGGTTTCATCTCTATCTTTTCTGCTCTTTACTCTTCTGCTTGAAAAATGGGGCTCATTCCCAGAGCCAGCTTGCTGTGAAACTAGTTTGAGAAGCTCACTAGTTAACTTGTTTACTTCCAAGGATATTTATAAACACATGGTCCCAGCAGCCTGGCCTGTGAGTCTTTATGGAAGTGAAATGCACAGATGAAACCACGCGCACGTACGCACGTACACACACACAGGTATACAAGTGCAACCACACACCTATCTGTAAATAGATCTCCCCGCAAAGAAATGGCTCAACTCTCCTGAGACATTCCTAACAGATTGATAAGCCTCCTACAAAAGCTTTCAGTGCGAGGGCTGGCCTGGGATTTGGTGTGGAGCTCATGAAGAGGAACACTGAAATGTCTCACCTGCCCTGAAAGAAGGGGTCTGCAGGGCAGAGGCAGTCAGGACAGCTGTCGTCTTGCATGTGTTGTTGGGATGACTGCACTGCACCGCCTTTTATTACCAAGGATAACCCTCTGCTCTGAGACTCTGAAGGTGGTGATGGCACCGGAAATATGATTGCGAGGAGTAAAAGAAAAGCAACGAAAGAAATTCTGTCCACAGAACTGAGGTTTCTTTATAACATCAAGTTTGGTAACAAAACTAGAAATATATGGAGTACATGTTCACTTTTTCCTTTGTAAGCTGATCTACAAATACTGGAGTGGATTTCCTGGTTGCTTTTTGAGGAAATTTGTCAACTACTAGTCTACATCCAGGGAACCTACTTACTATTTTTTAATACAATGGAGAAACCTATTCTCTTGCACTCAGTCACTTGCAAAAGGAGTTATGAGAAACATGTTTTTGAAACTGCTTAATTGATCAAAGACTTCCAAGATTTATTTGTGGCTAAAACACTGCTCAAACTCTGCAAACCCTCAGAAGGGCCATAGTTTCCTCTCTTCCTTATTCAGAAGCATAGCCACCCCTCTCCTGCCCCCTCCCAATGAAACAACAAAACCACAGGAGTCCCATTTTGATTCCTGCCAACCCTTCATAGGGAAGACTGGGAGTCCCTGGCCATTATTATCTAGACAGTGCTTTCCTGAAGGCCCAGAGGTGGCAAAAGCAAGAACCCCAAAGACAAGTGCCTGTGCTCAGATACAGCCAATCCAGATGGGGTGCCTCTTTATCCTGGCTCCCTAAGGGTTGCTGGAGTTCATCTGCCCATCTTTGGGCAATGGTGGGGACGGCGGCAGTGCACTGTCAAAGGCAATGTTGGCTGTATGGCGCTGTAAGTTCCCAATCTGAGTAACTCTAGCCCTAACGTGGTTGATGCTGGAGATGACACTGTCAGGGCAATTCACTGGGAGTGGAAAACTGGTTTAAGCATGAAATTTGGAAGAGGTGACTGGGACATACAGGAGGCATGTGAAATTGGGAGAGATGCATCAGAAGATTAAGTTCTTTTGAGATGGTTTCTATGCGGCCATGGAAGGACTTATTTTTGAGAAACATCAGCCATGTTTGCTCACTGAAGGGGGGAATGAATTCTATCTTTTGCATACAAAAAAGTTAAGGCTATGATCTTTAGTAACCAATCCGTCATACATTTACCATCACTGCATATTTCTGACATTAAAGGAGGTTACTAATATGGAGAATCAACTATGAATATGCACTGTCAGTGTACATTTCCAGTGAACTAAGCTGGGATACAGACATGATGGACCCTCTTCTGGTTAATGGCAGAGGCTGTTTCTTTGTACTTGGAGTTCACGCAGATAAACAGGCAAATCAACATTTCTACTGGAAAGTCCAGGATTTTGCGGTCCTGTCACTCCTACGTTCCAGAGTGAAATGGAGCTGTAACTGGAGGATAGCCTAGTCCCTTGACTTGTACCTTCTTAGACTTGGTTTACTCCTAGACAGACCCAATATAGCAGAATGTTCACTAAGGCAGTCAGCAAAGTACACTGGCTGCTGGCACACTGCCCATCCTTGCAGAGTCCAGAGTGAGATCACCGCAAAAGGCCAAGGTGTGTGCAAGTGATCAACCTTTACCTGCTTGATTAAACAGACACAGGTCATCCTCTGGTCATAAGAGAAGGACCGTTTATACCTTGATGGATTCCTGGCCTGCTCACCTCAATCTGCTCAGGATGCAATGCCTGAAGGACTGTGGGGCTTGGGAGAATCCTAATGGCATATTAAGGGTATTTTTAGTGAATGCTGCTAGTACTCAGAAGCAATTGCATCACTCCCAGAGAAAAAGATCCCTAGGCACCATGCTGTGAAATGGAGAAAGTGTGAAAACTACAGAGTGGATTTGGGTGGGTGGTGGGTGGAGGGAGTGCCCAGCCTCAGAGACCAGGCTGAGGCACAGAACTCAGCAACTATAGCAACAGGGTTGAGAAAGGAGCCCTGATGTGCTGGTGGGGATGAAATTGATGGCCAAATTATTCCTTAGGTAGTCTTTTTATTTACTTTTTAATTTTCAGGAAGATCACAACAGAATCTCTCAGGGGCCTGGGACCACCTTGGGAGTGCTAATGGCCTTGGAAGAATCACCATTACCCTACATGCCAGAGGGACCTGGGGCTCTTTGCCTTTTTTATGAAAAGCAAATACCTAGTAAGAGATTTGTGAGCGTGTGTGTGTGTGTGTGGCGGGGGGGGGGGGGGGGGGGGGGGGGGGGGGGGGGGCGCAGAGAATGAGAACAGTGCATTAGGAAGGACCCCCCATAACTGCTTAGGTTTAACCCTTCAAGAGCTAACCTATAAAAACATTTAAGACCAAAAAAAAAGTCACAAACTCAGCTGCAGGGGGGCCTTGCCCTGAGCCAAGCTGGTCACTGCGCCTTTGCTTTTTTGTGGAAGCAGAGGTGGGGAGGCACTTAGTAGGGTGTGGAGTGCCAGGATGCTAGAGGCTTTGTCACTACTTCCCCTTGCCCTCCCTTGAGAGGCAAGGTTTTTTTCTACACAGGGATAAGGAAGTTAAAATTTCTATACAGGAAGTCAGAGTTGCCCAAATGCCAATTGAGAAACTGTACATTTCTGTGACGGCGCCTTAACCACTAGGTAGTATCAAGGAAGCAAACCTCAATATTCAAAATCCTTGTGGAAAAGGGATGTGATGCTGTGTCTCCCAGCCACTCTGTTTTGTATACAGGAAAATTTCTTTGAAGAAAATGAAAGATTACAATCTTTATATGAGCTGAGCAGGTTTGAAGCCGGTAAAATGGTATTTCCTAGCCAAGGCCCGATGGAACAGGTGAAGCCCAGTAACTCTGATCCATGCCACTGTTGCTATCTCTGCTCCATGTAAGATACATGAAGGGACTCGGCAGGAAATGCCAACTACCAGAAAGTATCCCCACATCCTCCAGTCCAAAAGACGGCCCTCTGCCTCAAGCCAGAGGCAATGATTTCAGAGTTTCCAAAACCACCAAACTAAGTCACCAGCCACTGTCCTCCTTGGTTAGCTCACCCTACTCCCAGATACAAGGCCTTGTTCCCTGCTGTGATTCTTTCTCCTCTGTCATATCTGGAAAGAGGTCACTGTTTGCATGAGCCACTTAACTCAAATGAAAATTGAGCACAGTAAGATTAACTCCACACATTACTTTCCAAGCAGTGAATGAAGAACCAAGACCCCTCATGGTAGCAGATCAGGTGACTAACCCACAGTGGGAGGCAGACAGTGGACTGGGGAAAACATGCTCTAGGTACATGGCCATCTGATTTGGAAGGAGTCTATATCCACTTGAGAAGATAATTTCAGACCTTTCATTTCAGTATCCTTTCCCCTGGAATTTTCCAGCACCAGCCAATCTTATCTTCCTGTTCATACAGTCCCACGTGCTCAGTCCTAAGCCTGCTGCCGTGGACCTGCTGGGAGATCTGCAGGTGCCTGGATTCTGGTAAGGCAGGCCTGCCCAAATGCATCACTCAGCTACTCGGGCTTTTACTTCCTGGCCCTATGATGGCAAATCCTGAGGTTCTTCTGGCAGCCGGAAGGCAGGCTCACTTAGTCCTCCTCTTCTTGTCCACTAGTGGCAATACGGCGGTGGCCATTTCATCACTAATGCTGTCCCCCAAGTCACTAAGAAAGTCACATGGCTATCTAGTGGGAAGTCCCTGGCAGTGGAGGAAACCAACATTTCCGATTTTTTTGTCAAGCATCTCCTTCTCCGGGTCATAGTCTGGCTTGGCTGGCTCATCCCGTGTGCTGGAGAGCTAGGCTGTCCAAACTGTAGGCTGATGAGGTCAAGAGGCTCTGGTAGGGACATTCTTCAGCAGCTGAGAAGATGAATGAAAATTCAAGTATGTTTCTCTGCCAACCTGAGTGTTTACTCAGAATGACATAGAGTTTGGCTTCTTCTCTTCTGGGTGCTGCAGACCCAACTTTTTCCATTGAGAATGTCCTCTGGACCCATGTTCTCTCTGAATGGCTTGGCTGGCCCCATCCCCCTCAAAACAGAAAAAAGTAAAACTCCCAATATAACCAGACACAATATGCATCTGCCATGTTTTTTGTAAAAAACAACAACAAAAAAACCCCCAAAACTAAAAGTGCAATAAAGTCAGTTTTTTTTTCCGTTGCTCAGAACAATTTGCATTGTCCTACTACCATCTGGAGAACAGAGTTCGCTTGTCAAGAGAGCGAAGAATGCCAACGCGCAGGGACAGTAGACTGCAGATTTCTCACAGCTTGTGTCCGACAGTGTAACTTGACAGGAGGGAGGGCGGGAGGACCCTGCACCCTGTGGCCAGCTGGGGATGGAGGCTGCACAGGCACAGAGTAGGGAGCCATCTGCCAGGCACACCTGGTAGCTGGAGAAGGTTCTTCTCCCACCAGGCCTGCCATCTTCCCCCTGCCTTCTTGGCCAAACCCCCAGCCTCTTGAGATCCTTCAGCAGACAAAGCCTTTAACTCACTAGCTTTTATGCTGGAGAAGGTTGAGGGTGGGGCAAGAACCGGGAGTAAACTACTAGGGAAGAAAACAGTAGTCCTTGAGTTTTTGTGAATGACACCTTCACTGTAAACAATAGGAAGGAGAGTCAACCAGGCAGCCCCGAAGGGCAAGCAGTGGAGGAGCAGCAGCTCTGGGACCTGCTCAGAGCTGTAGGCAAGCGGGGATGGCCACTGACCCACTGGGCCCTGGCTGCCCGCACTGGCTCCTTCTGGGGGCATCTGTTTTCTTTTTTTGGTTTGGATCTCCACCCTCCCCCATACAGGAGTCCCTTCCAATGAAAAATGGCAGGAGCTGCGGGTGCAATCGAGTTAGAGTCCCCAGGGCCTGAGGACTCCTGGTAGGCACTGGTCACTTGTGGCGCTGGGCAGTCTTCTTCCTTTTCCTCTTAAAGAAACAGCAGCACCTGGAGTACAAGGAACATTCCAAGTCAGTGCAGGAGGCCTACAGCTTCAGACAGACTTCTGCCTGCTTCTGCTTACTGCCTGGTGGGCAGGGGGAGGGGGGGTAGGTACCCCCTGGTACCCACCCACAGGGCCACCCACACACACCGCCTATAGTGCACACGCTGGAAGCAGTGGGCAGTGCCTGTCAGGAAAGCCAAAGGAAATAGCTGCTTAATTTCAATCTTCAGTTACCAAACTTAATCATCAAAATGTTGCAGGCTAGGCAGGGTCCAAACAGGCATTTTTTGGAAGGATGAAGAAGGCTTATTTCCCAGTCTATTACTGAACCCACATATTTTATCTTTATCTAGAACCAAGGCTGGGGGGTCCTCAGGGTTGCCTAAGACTAGCCTGCATTGTCTGCCCCTTGATACAGAGGGCACAATAATTTAATGCAGCTTCAATGTCCAGCGGGTATGGAGCTAAACTGAGGCAAACAAACCCTCCACAAAATATGATTGCAATTTAGCAGGATCTCATGATGCTGCCAATGAAGGATTAAGGATTCTCTCCATCCCATGCCCCCCCATCCCCACCCAGCTACCCAGAGCAGGCAGAAGGAGTCCCAACTCTAATAAGAACTGTGAGCCTAGATCCCCTGACTGAAATCAGCACAGCCCACATTTCATTCAGAGAGGACCAGTGCCACAGCCCAGGGGCTGACCATCAGCAAGCATATGGCTGCAGGGTCCTTGGCTTAGCTACTGAGGCCACTGCTGCTGTGCCAGACAAAGTGAGAGGACTGGCCCCGTGTAGGGTGGAGGTTGGGGTCTGCCCCCTTCATCTGCCCACCAAGTGTGCCCCTGGACAACAGCCACAGCTCCAGCACAGCCCTAGGCCCAAGTATCCCCTCCTTACTCCTGTCTCTGGAATAGGAAGCAGCTCTTGCTGAGGCATGACTAAGTCCAGAAAGGGGTGATGAGGGCTGTGGCAGAGCTGGTGCATAAGACATGTCCTTTCCAGGAAGCTGACACATGGGAAATGAGGATGTGAGAGCCAGGAGGTGTGGATGAGTCAAAGATGCCAGATGGTGGGGGGAGTCAAGCTGCAAACTTGTTGGACCCTTGAAAGGTAAGCTTTTCGGAGAAAACTCTTTCTGGTTCTCTTGCCTAAATCCCCCTGGGTTTAATGCCAGGGCTGTTCATATGAACATCGAGAAGTGGTGCTTATTTCCCATTCTCCTAAGTTCTTCAGTGTCGCTAAGATTCTCTCCTTTTTCAGTCAGGCTCTTTGGTATTTCCCCCACTAAATGGACATTAAATTTTGTAGGACATTTCTTAGAATGCAGAAATAGACATTTATACATGTAATGATAGCCTTTAACTATATGTGAATGAATCAAACATAAAAAAAATAGGACCTTCTTAAGAGAGTCTTAAAAAAGACTTTCTGAAGGTATCAATGACATTTGTGAAACACTATTTTTTTTAAGTTTATTTATTTATGTAATTTCTACCCCCAACACAGGGCTTGTACTCAGGACCCCGAGATCAAGAGCTGCACGCTCTTCTGACTAAGCCAGCTGGGAGTCCTGTAAAATACTAAATGGTCATGAACATAGTCACTAAAGTGACTAAAGTGGCATGTGTATCTGGAGACGAAATAAATTCTTTCAAAGAAAAATGACCAATGCTTCTGTTTAAGATAGTCCTCTCCCCGAGAAAACTTCAAGAAAAAAATGATCTTTTTCTATTACATATGCTTTAGAAAATGAGCATTTTCCAAGTTGAGAGTCCTGATATTTAATATTAAACAAGGCCAATTAAACCTCATGGGAGCAGCAGTATTACACCAGAGTTATCTGTTCCCTGTTAACCATGATTTTCAGAGACATCATTAATATTTATGTCAATTTCTATTCTTATTTTTTTTGAGGATGCTAAAATGAGGATTTTGTGTTTTTAGTAAGTAACAGCAATCACAAAGAAGTCAGAAATACTATTTTGGTCCCTTTCAAACTACACTATTTCTCTTTTACCTCCTTTGAGGCAAGTCCTAAGAGTTAGTATCTGCTTACAAGCACATCATAACCTGATGTGCCATGCTGAACTTCCCTGACTGGAGGGCAATGCGCACCACAGTTTAGAGCCCCAAATTAATTTTTGCTAGTTACTGTAGTTAAAGCTTCAGCAGTAGCAGAAGCTTTTCATAGTTCTACCTGTGAGAAAATAGCCCCACAATCTGCTTTTCAACTCTTTGGTTTCTGTGGTGACTAGCAGCAACAGGACCTATTGAGCTGGGTCAGACCCCAGACCAAGCCCACCTACTAATTCCACATAGAAGTCTTACTCTCCAAAGAGAAGGAACGTCAGTGATGAACCTTTCTTGTGTTGTAGGTATTCTTCTAGTTGATTCTTTGATTGGATGACCAGAAGTTCTTAGCATGCTGGAGTCAGAATCAATCTAGTCTCCCTACCCATAAGCCACCAAGTGCTCTTCCCCTCTGAGCCACTACCTCTCCCATACTGCTCTCTTGCTAAGTCCTGGCTCTCTTCTTTTGCTATTCCTTTGCCAGGCTTCTCTTCTTTCGTATACTTTTACATTCTTCCCTTACTCTAATACCTGGCTCAAGCCCCACAGTATCATGAGGTCTTTCTTGACCTTTCCTGTCCACAGTGGCCTCTTGAGGGACAATAACAAGTCTCCTGGAGAACTTGTCCTTTCTAGTATATATGTCTTATTTCTATAGCTAGACAGCACCTAGCTTTATGGAATACCCAAACTAGATGGCACCTAAGCTCTTGGGTAACCTACGCCCTCGGGGAACCCCTTAGAGTCCCAAGCACAGCTGGAAGAGCACATAGTAGACCCTGTATTTGCAGTCAGGATTATGTGACTGACATCTCACAGGGAAAAAATAGACTATGACAATGTCAGATTTACACAGACATGTTTGCTAGATAAACAGGTCAAAGGTACTCCTCAGTAACAAAAGACTACAAATTCTATTTCCATAAAACCTGACTGTTATCTTCCATATATCCCTAACCCTAAGGAAGCCCCACAGGCAACTTGGCTTAGACCCATGTGGCTCAGAAATTGGTGCCCAACCCAATCACTGAAGACAAATAGAAACAAGGTAAACACAGAGTCCAGTAGGCTGTTATCACCACATAGAATATGACCCCATGCATGCAGACATTGTAGGGAGTTATAATTCCAGATTGCAACAGACCAACCCGTTTAGGAGAACCTGGAAGGTCACAGGCAACGTCTAAGAAGAAAGCTAGGGAGAGGGCTCTTTCTTGTAGCGAGAATGTACTGAACGTAGATTCTTTAGGGCTTCCTCTTCCACTCAAGGAACATTTTTCAGGAGTGGAAAAGAGGGGCTCCAGTATCTCATTAGCCAGGTTAGCCCTTGTCCCGCTAAATGTACTCTTACAGGGAAAAGAAAGACAATAAACGAAAAACAAACAGAAACTCCCAAAACAACAACAAAATGTCCATTTCTCTCCCCAAGAAGGAGCTCTTTTTGAGAGACTCATTCTACAGAAGGAAGAACCAGTGGAATCAAGGGAAAAGTCACAGATTTTTCGAAAGCAGCCAGGTTAGAGACCAAGCCACAGAATGGAGATTATCTGGTGATAACTGCCCTTGGGATTGTGAAGAATAATCTAAACAACTGATAGAGTAACTTTGTCCTCCTGCCTCTGTCCCTCTCTGCCTGATAATATCTGGTCTATTAATCTGGGAGACAATTCACTCAGCTAAATATAGAAAGATAATTTTGGATACTGTGGGATATTGTTTTGAAAGGAGGAGACAGCAATGAGATGGGTTTGAAAGGAAAGAAGGAATGGATTAATTCCTGGGTGTAGGCCTGCCCCATCCCCACCTTGTGGATCTAGTTCCCCAGTCTGGGTGGTTATGGCACAAGGCGGCGTATGGAAGCCATTCAGTGTTCCTAAGGCATTTTGTTTGGCTTTGCCAATCCCAGCCTAGTCTGGTCCGCTCCCCTAGCATGTGGACTGGAGAGAGGGACTCACCACAGGTTGAGCATTTTCAGGCAGCTACAGAGTGTGTAAAGAGAAAAACACAGAAAGGAAGAGAGAGAAAGAGAGAGATATTAGTCCACAGAGGTGAGATGGAAGCGACTCGCTGTGAGCCATGCAAACATGCAGTATGTGTTGGTGTTTCGTTTCTTCCTCTGTCGAGGCAGGGGGAGTAGGCCCAGGCCCCGCAGCCCCCACACTAAGATGGAAGGGGCAGGTGCCTGGTAGAAGCATTGAGGAGGGAACTGGATCTCAGTGAAGGGTAAGGTAGAACAGAAAGAGTTGGTGGGAGCCCCACAGTGGGTTTTCCTGGGCAATTTCCGGGAAGGTAGCAGGAGAAAGAGGACATGATCCTGCCTGTAAGAATTCAATCAAGCACCAAGTGAGCCATTTTGGTTCCCACACAAAGTCTTACTGGGCAATGTTAAGTTGACCTTCCAACTATTCTGAGGGAAAGAGAAGTCCCTAGCCTTTCTAGAAGTCCAACATGCCTGACCAAATCGGCTGGCTGGCAGTTAGCTCTTCCTCTAACGGAGGGAAAAGGCTTCAGCAACACTTTATTTTAGTAGATAAATCAGAGCAAGGAGGGTGCACTGCTCTGGACTAAGGCGTCACTGCCAGAGAAGAGCCAAAATCCCATTCTTGTTAATTTTCAGGAGAAACGAGGTCCACATTTTCTAAGCTATAGCTAAAGTCAGTGGATAGCCAAAAAGCTGCCTAGCCTTACCAGTTATATTGAAACTAGGACATGTGTCTTATAGTCAGAAGAAAAGGGCAGTTAGATGTTCATTTTGTATACAGAACAAAAACCAAGACCCTGTTATTTCTTTCCTCCTTTATATAAAACAAGCTGGGTGAATCAAATGCTTGTAAGTGAAGGTTTCACTTATCTCCCCAGTCTCTGGTTGAATCTTAATATAGGCAACAGCTCTCTTTTTCCCGAAAGCAGGCTGCATGGACAAATGGCATCACAGCTGCGTGCAATGAGGGGTTGTTTGGGACGTCTCGTGCTTCTCTAGCTGTGACTTCTTCCCATGAACATGAGCAGGTGGATTCATGGCTACCCCCTCCTTCCCTCCAAAACACATAGAAGGCCAAGAAGAAAAACACATGGCCGTGCCAGACAGTTCCCTGGGCAAGATGGATTGGTAGCTCATGAAATCACTAGGGGAATCAGCACACACAATACCCTAAGCTTTGAGCTTCTGGAGGACATCTGGTCAAATATAATTGCTCCCCTGTGGTCCATACATTTCAGAAGGCCCAAACCTAGAACTGGTAGCAGTCACAACAGTCCTTCTTACTAAATGGGGAGACTCTGAACTCTCTTTACAACCTAGAGTTTAGATCATACCAGAATAGAAGTCATCACACTGAAATCTCTTCATGTGAATGGCCCCCTATTTTGCGCACAGACACAAACACCACACTTACATACACAATCAGTGTACACATTTACCAAAGTGAAATGAGAGAAATGGGTTCAAAAGATAAACCTGTATAGGGCAGACGATAAGACTAAAGCTCTTTCAATCTAGGTATTCACAATACACTATTAAATTCAGAACTAAAATTCTAGCCTTCAAAGTAATAGCCACAAAATGAATTGGGAGTGAGACAGGGTGGGAATGGGTACAGCCATCCTTCAAGCCGAGACAGTGTGTGAATCAGAATGTGCCTAGTGCTGTGTTTCCCAACTTTGGCCACACATTCAAATCACCTGACCTTTAAAATTTCCTGATGCTTGAGCCATAATCCCAGATAAATCAGAATCTCTGGGGACAGGATTCAGGCATTTCTATTTTCTAACACACCTCAGGTAATTCCAAAGTGCAGCCAAGGTTGAGACCCCAATGGATAAGGAGTACCATACTGTTTAGTTGAGAGGATGAAGCTCTGTCAGGGAAGCTGAAACACTGTGAGTACCATTAAAATCTCCAAAGTCCCTGAGAACAGGGTGCATGGTTCCTTACTAAAAATGGCTTCCTCCCAGGATTACAAACTCTCCCTGCCTTTCTTACTTCTCAGGGCCCTATATAAACCAGGAGAGGAGCATCTGAAGCTGCCTACAGTCAGCAGGGATTTGACAAGAGATTGTTCAAGTCATCCTTGATTGCTTTTTATCTTCTGGGGTAGGAATCCTTAAAGGATTCCTTTCCTTTCCAAGGAAAGGACCTCTTGGGAGCAAAGTGAGCTCATCACACAGATGGGCAGGACAGCAGCGGAGCGGGTGGAGGTGGGGGACAACCATGAAAAGTGTAACTGGAGGGAAGAATGCAGGTCTTGACTGGCCTCCCACCACCTTACCCCCTGGGTTGTAAGTGCGTTCTAGCTTGTACTGAGGCCATCTGGGGGCTCAAGAGAGCACTGAGGACACACGTATCACTCTTAATATGTCATCTGCTTCTGGGAACAAGATACCAGGATAGCCTGAATGTTCTCAAAGGGTTTACAAGAAAGGTCATCTGTATCAGCTTGGCAGCAGTCACTGATTTGTAAAGGACTTCTCTCTCCCTGTCTCATATCTCATGCCTTCTTGGGAGTTTAAATCCGGATTGGAATTTGGGATGGGGCAAAAAGGGGAAGGAGTGATAGAAATGCTACTTCTGTGGCAGCATAGGCAGTTATTTCCCCTTCTACCCCATATGCTAAAAGTTTAACCACACGCCATGCAGAAAGCACCAGGAGGCTGCTGGTATGGGCAAGGCAACACGTTCATAGGCAAGAGAGGCAGAAAAGGGAGTGGAGTCACTGCCCCATCTTGGGAACAGTGTGATTTCCTCTCCTCCCAAGACTCTTTTACTCATAGGTGTAGAGACTATCTTGCCTGACTTATCGGAGTCTCTCAGAATCCAGAATCATTTTAAGTGAGAACAAAATGGCCCTGAAGCCCTAAGTCTAGGGCTGTACACATAGAGTTGTTAGCCAAGAACCAGAAATCAAATGCTCTTCAGTGTGGCCCATGGTCTAGATAAGCAGACTTTTTCTGTATCCAGGAGGGAGCAAGAAGCTCCAGGGACCCAAGAGGCTCATGACTACTATCTGTTCTAGCTCTTATATCATGATTCTTTTAGTTCACTAGGCCTTTTGGCTGATGTGGACTAGAAAAATGTGATGGTCTTCCCAGAAATCACAGCTAAAGAAGGGCAGAAGCAGCCTTAAGGTATCATGCAAAAAATAAAATGGTCAAAGGAAGAAAGCTGAGGACACAAGCATGAGGAATCCAGTCTAAGATGAGCAGCACATGGAGAAGAAGAGACAGAGAAGACTTTTCAACTTAGGACTCAAGAGGCCCCTTGAAAGATGAACGTACTTAGCTTCCTCGACTACCTCCACCTCGGCGTGAGCTGTGATTGGTGCATTGGAGTGGGCTCCTGTGGGGTCATCAACATTCAGCTCTCCATTGGTTGAGCTAACCACCTGGAACAGAAAGACGGAATGTGACAGACACCATGGCAACAGAAGCCTCCATGCCAGCACCAGAGAGGGTCTCTAACCGAGTTCTAGTCTTTAGCTGAGATATTGACCAGGCAGTGTCTGGAATACTGGTTTTCCTGGGCTGAGGACCCAAATGTCCTAATTTAGGTAAGGTTCCCAGCGCCACACCATGTGAGAACACAAAATGCAATGATGTAATCCCATAAGAACTTCCATACTGAATGTCTACTCTGTGTCAGCGCTCTGCTACACCGTGCGTAAATTTAATCTTCACAAAAAGCCTATGAAATAGGTCATGTCACTCTCTTTAATTCTACTTCTCTCAGTTTCTTATGCTATAATTATAAATACACTCAGTAATGATGCTGAAAAAATTCTAAAAAGAAAATCATGAATGGGCAACAGAGACTATAAGCAATCACACTTTCCTTCAGAAATTTCTTCATGGCTTTCATCACTGGTTTGAAGTTACTCAAACAGCAAGACTGCCACACCCTCTCTGGCGAGGCGGCAGACGGTAAGGAAATGCTTTCCCTTGGAAGACCAGTCTTATTTCAACAACCTTTATTTCAGGTTTAGTGTCATCCCACTTTTCACTGACGGTCCCCGAACTGTAACTGAAGGCTCTCACTCCTGTCATCTGGTTAATGTGGACCCGATCAGGCTTCTCTTGCTTGTGCAGCTGCTTCTGGCACCTGGCTTCATTTCCAGCACATGATTCCTGTTTATGTGGGTGCTGGGGAGTGGGAAAAGGGACCCCGCTGGACAAACCACTCTGCTGTTAAAGACCTTGGCTGAAACATGGGAAAGAACCACAAAATAGGATTTAATGGTTCGGATAGCATATGCCCTTGGATAAGTAACTTCAGCTATTTGAGACTGTTTCTTACAGGTGGATGTGAAAATTATACAAACAAATGGAGGAGACAGTGTCTGGTACAATACCTGGCACACTATAGTGGAGGTAGCACAGCATACACAGCAAATAAGGAATGGAATCCAGATTTAGTCAGCCCTGGGTTTGAACCCTAGCTCTACCGCTTACTTGCTGTGGGTCCTTGGGCAAGACCCTCAATCTTTCTGTGCCTGAGCTTCCTAATCTGTAAAATGGGGAAACAGTGCTGCTTACCTAATAGGGTTACTGTGCAGACAATCCACAGAAAGTGCTTATTAGCCCAGTGCCATGGTACATGGTAATGGCTCAGCAAGGGTTCTTACTACTGTTATTCTCCCTCCAGTAATGTTTATTTTTATCCCTCTCTAGATCTGGGGTCCTCACCAGCAGCTAATTTGGAAAAAAAATTTCCTGTGCAGTCATAAAGAGGAAGGCAGGAGGATATGTTTAGTATAAGGCATCCTTGGGGTATTTACTCAAAGAAAAAAGAGCACATAAGGTAAACACTACTTACAACAGTCTCTACTTACCATTATTTCTAAACCAGAAATATGTACTATTCTTATTGTTAATACATGCTTAAAAAAATTGAAACACTGTTGTATGGTTAGTCATAAGAAACCTGCAACATTAAATTTGGACTTACCCAATGGATCTGCTAGTGATCAAATTTAGTACCTTTGATTAATGGAACCACTCAACCTTATTTATCTCCTGATATGATATAATAAATACTATATAACATATATAACATTAAGTAATATTCTTGTCAAAAACAAGTTTTATCTGAACTTTTGGTATGATAGAAAAACACTGACAAACCCAAAATGCAGGACATTCTATAGGAAAGCAAGCCTGGACTCTTAAAAAACTTTTTTTTCCCCTCTTAACACAGGGGTAACTGTTACAGATTAAAAGATTAAGCAACTAAGAGACTGACAGAGACTAAAGGGGCATAACAACTAAATGCAAACCTTGATTAGATCCCAGATCCTATAAAAATTCCAGTTGTATACAACTGGAAATGCAGTATGGATTGTGTATTAGATATTACAGAAAGATTATTCTATTTTATAGATATGACAATGGTGTTGGTTACATGAGAGAATGTCTTTGTTCTTAGGACATGCCAACTAAAGCATTTTGAGATGAAATACAGTGACATTTACAATTTACTTTCAAATACTTTAGCACACACTCTCCCCATGCTACTACCACAGAATTAAAGAAAATATGGCAAAATCTTAATAATCATTAATTTAGGTTAGGGATATATATGGGTTCATTGGACCACCACCACTACCACTAACTTCTCCATAAATTTGAAAATTTCAACATGAGAAGGAAAAAGACCAGGAAAAACAAAATTTGAGGAGTGAAGGTTTACAGATTAGAGAAACACAGCTCCTCAGGCTAGTGCTGTCCTGTTAACTTCTTCAGCCTGCATTTATTTCTTGGGGCACAGTCTGGCTGCACACTAGAGGTCATGCTGGTAAATACATTCTGCACGCACAAGGGCTAGAGAAGAAAGCATCATAAGTTTCTTAAAGAACAATTCCAGAACTAGGTAAGAAGTTAAAGAAAATGTCTTGGCCTCTATGGATACAAATAAAGTAGGAGTCAGCAAGCATCACCACTGCCGATTACTTGGTTTCTTTGGGTGGTGGTGCCAGTCCGCAGTATTTCAGCTATCTCCTGCTAACTTCTTGCTAAGATTGCCACTTAGCCTATCAGCAATATCCTTGGGCAATCTAAGGAAGAAGAGGTGATCTCCATTTTACAGACTAGATGTCTTATCTGTATCTGTATCGCCAAGTACCTGGTCTCAAATGGGAACCTAACCACCAGGTGTCTAACTTTTAACTATAAAACATGCTTGGGAATTAGTGGCTATTTACTTAGGTCTTTAGAGCATCCACTTCAGGCCGGAGGTAGTTTGTCAAACCACTGAACTGCTGCCTAGATGTTCAATGGAACAAACACTAGTGCAGGTGACCAAAGAGCTGGAATCCAGGCCTCACTCCACCATCAGCCTCCTCTGATTTCTAATTCTGTAAGACCAGGCCAACAACCTTGGTCCCACCTATCTCATGATTACCATGGCAGTTAAAAATAATGATATGGAGGAAAGCAATTTAAAAAAAATTTTTTTTGGTAATGTTTTTTATTTATTTTTGAGAGAGAGAGAGAGAGCGCGAGCGTGAGCAGGGGAGGGTCAGAGAGAGAGGGAGACACAGGACCCGAAGACAGGCTCCAGGCTCTGAGCTGTCAACACAGAGCCTGACACAGGACTCGAACCCACGAACTGTGAGATCATGACCTGAGCCGAAGCCGGACGCTCAACTGACTGAGCCACCCAGGCACCCCAGGAATTTGAAAAATTGTAAAAAACTAAAAAAAAAAAAAAAAAAAACCTCCCACAAAACCCTAAATCAAAACACCCTTAAGAATGCAATGAAAAAAAAAAAAAGAATGTAATGAATTATTGGTATTTTAAGCAGCAGCATTCTTATACCTTTCCTACTCAATTTTTTAGTGTAACTTCATTAAAAAATAAGCTTATTTGTTTACCTGGAATACTGAAAGTTATTTTGTTGTAATCACTATCAAAATGAATCCCATATTTTTCTGGCTATATCAGGTAAGACCAAAGTAATTAATATCATAAAGAACTACCCATGGAAGAAACTAAGGTGAAGTGCTATTTTGAACTTTAGTCCTTAATATCAGTAACATCTCTTTTAATAGGTAATTTAATATTTTAAGTTAAAAACTTGAGTTAATAAGTCCCATCTTTCAAAACATCACTGTGAAGAAAAGTGAGAGCTATATACCAAATTAGCCGAGAGTCAATATTTCAATCCTACTTCTTACAACTAACATATTTGGTAATTCTGTACTTCAGCTTCCCTTATCTATTAGATGGGAATAATACTGGCCTCAACAAGAACCGTAAATAATTAAAAATTGTAAAGATTTGAGCAAAGTAATTATTAGTTGAAAGTTAAATGTCATTCTTAAGTCTTACGCCCTTGCTTGGTCCTGGAGATTTCTAGATATTTCATATACATTTTCATTTAAACAACTCTGGAATCGTCTTTTTGAAAGAGAAAAATATACTGCCTTCTTGAATTTAGATCTTCCACATGTGGAAGAACTGTGAAAACAGTGAAAGGATGGGAATCATGGTGGGGGGGCGGGGTCTGCATATTAAATGGACTAGAAAAGGAGTGTCCATGTGTCTTACAGAGCAAACTCTTCTCATCTTGGTGCTATGTACTGCCTACCAGGTTTGTGGTGTCTGCAGGTCAACCAGGTAGGCTCGGCATGGTTTGAACACATTGCCTTTGGGAAGTGAGACGACTTGAAAATATGTGGGCATCTGCTGTTTTAGAAAAAAGTAGGGCTGATTTGGTTTGCAAAAAGCACAGCCTTTATGAGTTTACAAAAACTGGGGCTACAATTAAAGAGGCAGATGTAGTGAGGAGCAGCAGAGCTTAATGTAATATTAGGGAAATGGCACACTTGCCTGTCCCCTATCCAAAGTTTCACGAAGCTGGCAGAACTTAGTTCATAGGGAGCAGAGACAGGCTGCATTTTCCAAAACTGCTGTCAGAGACTCTAAGTGACTCAATTCTAAAGTTATTTCCTTATAGAGGACAGTAGGAAACACTGTCCAAATGGGCACCTCTGTGTTCTGGGAACATAAATCTAGTTAACTAAACTGTTCAGATATGCCTGATTATGAGATATTTCCCTTTTAAAAGTTATTTAGGGGTACCTGGGTGGCTTAGTGGGTTGGACGGCCGACTTCGGCTCAGTTCATGATTTCATGGTTTGTGGGTTTGAGCCCCGTGTCGGGCTCTGTGCTGACAGCTCAGAGCCTGGAGCCTGTTTCGGATTCTGTGTCTCCCTCTCTCTCTGACCCTCCCCTGCTCATGCTGTCTCTCTTTCTCTCAGAGATAAAACGTTAAAAAAAAGTTATTCAGTCTTTGCATTTCCCCCTAATTACAAAGTAAGCATATGATTATTGTAAAAAAAAAAAAAAAAAGAAAGAAAAAAGAATATTAAAAAAGACTACACAAGG